CTAGAGAAATAATTATCCAAACTTTTAATTTCAACAGTATCCATTAATATATGATTGCGTAAGAATTGCTTGTCGCGTGTGGGGCCCAAAATCTCTGTTTTTTAAAAAAGTGATTTTGTTTATTGTCAGTTTGTCACACAAGTTTTTCTCTGTTCACTACAACTCCCATCTCTTTTTGTGACCAACTTAGGGTGTGATTGGTTTTTGGTGGAGTAATATGGTGAAAATAAAATGGTGAAAAATGGTGGAAGAAAAAACTTCACATCAAGAGTAAAACATTTCCTTCCACTAATATAGAGCGTAACATATTAGTATACTTTCTCACTTTTTTAGCGTTAATGGATGGAAAATATTTCCACCTAATTGGTAATAAAATAGAGCAAGTTAGCGTTAATGTTTATTACTCTATTTTTGTTACGCTACAAGTGCTATACAGTTAGACTCTTAATCTGCATTTGTTTGAGATAGTGAAGATAATCATGTCACTCAGGCTTCTGCTTAGTCCCGACATATCCTCCCAAGTCCTCTGGCTCTACTGCGACCTCTTCTGCCACGGTAAGAAGACTGTCCAGCATTAAACATCCTCTTGCTCTACTGCTTCTGCTTAGTCTCGACCTCTCCTCCCAAGTATCACAAGACGTCCTCCTAATACCTGTGACCACAAATAGAGTTTATACATTTAAAGCATGGAACTGCTAAAAATAAATATGTAAACATTCCTCTTGAAATTATTACCATGTGCACAAATCCAACGTTGGCTTGATGGAGCTTCTAGGTTTTTATGTTGCTCTCTCTCTCTCTTTTTTTGATCAATTTATAGTGAGGAAATAGCAGACATCTAGTACTACTTATCCTCCTAGATTTGTTCTAACAAACAACAACTTATCCTTTTGTTCAGTCTGGTTTAATCCGGTTTGGTAAAGGGATCAGTTTGGTTATTTAAGTACAAATGTTTGTTTACAAGGAAAACACACACACTCAAAAAGAATAATTAAAACAAATTCCTGGAGAAGCAAGCTCATAGAATAGAGTAACACAGATTTTTACACTAGAGGAGGCTGTATTCAAGAAACAAAAGGTTATCAACAGAGACTGATTCAAGATTCACTAACACCGATACCATCAAGTAGATAGTATGTCCTAAAAGAAACGTTGTTCTAACAAAGTAATCATTTCATTCTTCTGATCTTGAAGCTAAAACATGTTCTAACAACTTGATCTCAATATCAAAAGCCACGTCCTCTTCCTCTTTGTTGGAACTTCTGCTGCAGGTTTTCAACTCCACCTCTTTCTCCTTGGTGTAACTGTGCCTACACGTTTTCACCTCCACCTCCTCCTTGCTGCTGCAGGTTTTCAACTCCACCTCTTTCTCCTTGGTTTAAGTGAGGCTGCACGTTTTCAACTCCACCTCTTTCTCCTTGGTGGAAATGCTGCTGAAGGTTTTGACCTATAACTCTTCCTCCTTCTTGGTGGAAATGCTGCTGCAGGTTTTGACCTCTACCAGGCTGTCGAATGGTTAACCCCCGAGACTGTGTTTGTGGTGCTGTACCAGCCTGTACAAGTTGTTCCAGCAGTCCACTTGGTCGATTTCCACTAAAGCCCTGAGAAAGAAACACATTTGGATTCAGCTGAGGTCTTGGTGGTGCATGGGGCGAGCTATAGTGTTGTTGCTGGCTCATTGAGCTCTGGTTTACATGAGGTCCAAGAAGACGCTGCAGGTACTGTTGTTGATAAGCCTCCGGAACATCAGGCGCTTGAAGTTGCCATAGAGGCCGTTGGCGCCTACCAAAACGTTGTCTGAGATTGTACTGACCTGCAAACCTTGCTGGTACTTGTGCTCCTAGGTTTGCTTGTGTAATCTGACTTCTTCTGAAACCATGCTGCACTGGAGCTTGATCTCGACGGTGCAGATGTACAAGCTGATCCATCAGTTCAGCTGGTCCATGCACTCTTCCAAGTTTTGCCTTTTCCTGGAGGAGGACCTCTCACCTACCTCATAAACTTTTCTCTTTCCCCTTTGCACACCAGAAGGCTGGTTAAACTCCTGCTGATTCATCGTTTGATTACTCAAGTTCTGATATGGAGGCTGGGTAACAAGACTACCACTTAATCCAGTATATACTTCAGGGAGAATCATCGCTTGAGGCACACTTGGTCTTAGATGCGGCATCATTATACATTTGAAAAGGTGCAACAGGTTGATATGGAGGTACACTTGGTGGTCTAAGATGCGGCATTATCATCTGCTGAGAGATTTGAAAAGGTGCAACAGGTTGATATGGAGGCACACTTGGTGGTCTAAGATGTGGCATCATCATCTGTTGAGTACCAGAAGGAACAAGACCACGGTTTTGCTCACCTGCAAAAGATGTTGATCCAAGGTCCATCGTCTTACCACTCCTATGAATCTGATGAAGAGTTGGATCATTAATAACAAGAATAGGACTAACCTAGCCAACGTTAATGGTGGGACCAGAAGGAGAGATAAACAGTGACAATAGACCTAGACTTTACCACTTCTACGACACACCTAAGCCAACATTGGTAGTAACAAACAAACAGAGAGAATAGACTTACACTCTATTACTACTACGACTAACCTAATCCATAATGGCGTGACAAGAAGCAGAGATAACAGCAGAGACTAAGAGCAGAAGTGTTGGGGTTAGAATCAGGATGACGGTTCTGATCACTTGCAAAAGATGTCAATCCAATGTCCATCTGTTGACCACTCCTATGGATCTGATTAAAACGTGGATCAGTAACAAAACTACGAACTAAACAGAGACAATAGCGACATTGATTGCTGAACAAGAAACAGAGCAAACAGAGATGATACACCTAATCCAATGGCAGGACAAGAAGTAGAGAAAGTATGCATAGAATCTAACGACTAAAAGGTTATTGATAATCACAAAGTTTAGAAGGTACCCAGTCTTCTTGACGAAGACGTACTGAATGCGACTAAGAAGGGTGGGAGTATCCTCTTGAGGAGAAAGAAGAAACGGGTTCTGATCACTTGCAAACGACGTTGTTGAGCCACATTCCATTGTTTCACCACTCCTATCAATCTGGTTAAGTATTCATTCTTGGATCAGTACTAAGCTACAAGAAACAGCGACAATATGCTCTAATTTCTTTATTATCAAAAATTGTGGACCTTACCGTGATCGAGTCTTCTTGACGATTCTGATTAAGAGCAGAAGGGTTTGAATCAGAACCAAGAAAGCTTCCGTTAGCTTCTTCATTGAGTCATTCGGTTATTTTTGCCAGATCAACATCATCTGTCGGCACTTCGTTTTCTTCTTGGACAGCTTTATCAGTAGCCATGGCAAGAGATTGAAAATTTTCTAGCGAGAAAGATGAGTGAAGAACACGTAAAAGAAACTGTAAGTGGCTCGAGTGTTTAGACTGTTAGAGTTTGTAAGTGCACAAGCAATGTACTTGGCCGAGACAAAAGGCTTGTTAAAAGAGATGACCGAAGAAAAGGGGTACATTCCGTGTAATCAAACTATTTACTGGATAAGCGCTGCTTTCTCTAAATCTGGGATGAAGGTTGATGCTGAAAGGTTCTTAAAGGAGTTTGTAAAATTTAGGAGAGTCTTTTTAAAAAGATTGTGTAGAGTGAAGTTTTGTTTTGAGTTTTATTGTACAGGTGATGGTAATTCTTACTAATCTAAAAAATGATCTGAGAAAAGAAAATTGCTTCGTTTCTTTAATCTCACCATCTTTTGTTTTAGTAGGATGGTTTTAGTGATTTCTTGAAGAGCAAGAAATTATTGGACATGAAAACAGTTTATTGGACATCTACTAATATTAGTAAGCACACTGGTTTTTTAAGTGAGTATGTTTAGGGCTAGGCACACTTATCCAGAAATAAAGAACCGAATCAAACCAAAACACAAAGTTGGGTTCGGTTTGGAATTCTCTGAGCGAATCAAATATTAAATCTTTAAAACCAGAAAACCAAAACTTTATCAAATAGAACCAAGAACCAAATATCTCTCTGAATTTCTATAATATAGTTTAGATACTTTTAAATATCAACTATGTTACTTTTTAATAATCATATAATTTAATGTTATTTATAAATCAAAATACCAAAATAATCATATAATTTAATATTATTTATAAATTGAAATACCAAAAAATAAAAATTACCAGAATGCTTTTTATCTGAATATTTAAAATATTGAAATTATTCAAAGTTTTATACGAAAATTTTAAAAATCTAATATCTAATCTGAAAATTATAAATTTATGTTTTTTGACCGAACTAACATAAACTCAGTGCCGGTCCTAGAAATAGTTGGGCCAGAAGCCAAATTTTTTTTGTAGCCTACTAGATACTAAAAAAAAAAAGAAAATTGTAAAAAATAAGAGTAAAGGTTCACATTATCTAACCAACTATGATACAATCACCAAATTGACTAAAGAAACTTTTTGTAAATATATGGCCGAAATTTTAGTTAATATCTCACGGTCAGAAGTATGTGCTTCACCCGCTTCCGTTAAGGGCCGGCTCTGCATAAACTGAAACTGACTCGAAACTGAGTGAGATCCAAAATTATTCTGGATAGTAGTCGTTCTCAACTTTATTACCCGAACCAAATTGGATCTATACATACTATAATTATAAAAGTATATACAAGAGCAGTAGAGACAAATTGAATACGAATCTACCGTACATGTTGTTTTCAAGGAACAATGATTAAAGCACATTAACCAACTAAGCATTTGATTAAGGCACATGACCAAGCTTTCTAATACACATTTCCTAAAATCCTTTATTAATCAAGTCCTAAAGCAGCATCAAATTTAGTCTTTATTCACATAAAGAGAGAAGAATACTAAAAGATTAACCAAAACCAATGCAAGAAAATGGCCCAACAGAAATTTTGCTACATAATTTGGAAAAGTTTAACTAACTAAATAATGAAAAATTGATTAGACAGTCCTTCAGAGACTCTTATGAGATAGTGAAGATATTATGCTTCTGCTTAGTCTCGACCTCTCCTCCCAAGTCCTCTGGCTCTACCTCCTCTGCCACGGTAAGAAGACTGTCCAGTATTAAACATCCTCATAGCACTCATTTGGTTCTGCTGATTAGTCAGAGGTCTCATGGATTGCTGCTGCTGGTTGTACATCACTGGAGCTGCTGCACTTTGAAAAGGTTGTTGGCGCATACCAAAAGGTTGCTTGGGATTGTTCTGACCTAAAAACATTATTGCCCCAAGGTTTGGTTCTGTAATCTGACTGCCATACTGCTGATTGTACATCATTGGAGCTTGAACAGGAAGTAGATTAGGAACAATTCCCATTTGGTTCAGCTGATTGATCTCAGGTCTCATGAATTGCTGCGGCGGATTGAACACCATTGGATAAGGTTGTTGGCACATACCAAAAGGTTGTCTGAGATTGTGCTGACCTACAATCATTGTTGATACTTGTGCCCCAAGGTTTTGTTCTGTAATCTGACTGCTTCTGAAACCATGCTGCTGGTTGTACATCGTTGACATCATCACTGGAGCTTGACTTGGGGGTAGAGTGGTGGCAACCATTCCCATTTGGTTTGGTTGATTGATATCAGGTCTCATGAGTTGCTGTTGATGTACAAGTTGGTTAAAATTGTCCTGCCCTGTTATTCCTTGTGCGCCAAGGTTTGGTTCTGAAAACTGACTGCTCCCATAATGATTTGAGCTAATGATTTCTTGTTAATTACTCATCCTTCTCCTCTTTGTTGTTGTACTCTCGCAATCATTAACTTCGCCTTCTTCTTCTTGAAAGATGTCAGACCTTACTGGATCATGAAATATCTTGAACATATCCTCTTCATCAATATGTTCCACAAATTCATCGTCGATTAGATGGAGACGTGTACCTAGAGGCGGTTGGATATCTGATTCCAATCTCACAATATAAAGGTCTCTTTACATATCCAAATCCAAAAAAGTAGCCAACCACACGACAAAATGGGGCTCTTGTTTCACCTAGAAGCATAGTAGAACCTACTTTCAAAATTCTAGGCGCGTTGCTCCTCTGGAGTATCACATAACGTCCCCGTGACACCTGTGATGATCACAAAAAGAGTTTCATACATTTAAGGCATGGTACTGCTAATAAAAATATGTAAAATTTTCTATTGATATCTATTACCATGTTCACAAATCCAACGTTGGCCTGATGTAGCTTCTAGGTTTTTTTTTTTGTTGTTGTTGTTGTTAAAGGTCTAGACTCTCTCTAGTTACGATTTATGGTGAGGAAATAGCAGATATCTCGTAGTACTTTTCTCCTAGATTTGTTCTAACAAACAACAACTTATTCGTTTAGTCTGGTTTATTCCGGTTTGGTAAAGCGCTTTCGTTTGGTTATCTAAGTACAAAACAATCTCAAAGAATAAACACACAGTTCTACACTAGAGGAGGTTGTATTCAAGGAAAAACAAGTTAATATACAGAGGCTGATTCAAGATCCACCAAGACCTAGTTACGCTTAGATCATCGTCAAATAGCGCATATATAATGGGACACAGCTTGTATTGTCCTAAAAGACCTTTCTGAAACGTGGTTGAACAAAAAGAAACCCAACAAGAGCATATATTCTCTCAAGCAAGTCATTTCAGTAACTAATAATGTACAGATCCGTTTGGTTCAGTCTAGCAAGTACAGTGTTCCAATTGAATAACACGCTAAAAAGAAGACAGCACAGAGCAAATTATACATATTTTTAAGTACAAACAAGTTGGAAGAATCAAGTAAACACAATTTTATACTAGAGGAGGTCTTCAATAAACATAGGTTACTAACAAGGATGATCTAAAATTATCAAACAAACAAAAAAAAAAATGAAACTTTCCACCAACCTAATCATCTGCTACTAGAGGCAAGCACAATGATCTTTTCCTTGGGCCAATGTTACATGAAACAAGCCTCCTTTTGGCTTGATTATGACTTGTTTTAGGTCTTTGGTTTAGTCCCCTTTGTTCTTCTCGTTGTTTCAGAGAACTGAAACATCTATTGTTTCCGCTAATTCACACAGATCATCAAAAAATGCTTCTTTACAATTCACTAGTCTGCACTAGGCTCCCCTGAACCATGACGCTCTCTTCTGATCATATCTAGAAGATCCTGAACTACTTCAGACATCAATGGTCTAAATTCTGGTTCAGACTGTCGCAAGAAAAAAGAACAAAACACTCTTTTGTTCAAAACAAACACACAATCACAAGCATATAATCACAGTGTCTCATACTTCAACATGTGCTTTTTACCTGAACACACCGGGAAATTATATCAGCAAAGTGTGACAATGACTTTGCAGGGTACTGTCCCTTAAGAGATGGATCAACCATTTTGCCCAATGCATCAATATCGTGAAGCTGAGGGATTGCCCACCTCACCAAGAACTGCTCTCCTCTACTCCGGTCCCTATAAACAGACTCATGATTATTTATATAACTACCTGAAAGTAAACAACATGATGTGCATACCTGTCGTAGGACATTCTACCAGTCAAGAGTTCTAACATAACAACACCAAAACTGTACACATCACTCTGCCATGTATAGACTCCTGAGTCAAACTCTGGAGCTCCATATCCATAAGCCGCTAGCAATTGTCCTGATAACTGATTAATACAATAAAAAGTTGGTTTAACATCTTTAAGAAACTAGACAGGGAAGTGGGTTTTTAGTACTTTACCTGACTTACAGAGCCTGATGATATAAGTGGGGCCAAACCACAATCTGAGACAAGAACACTCAGATCATCATCTAATAGGACATTGGCTGACTTGAAGTTTCTGTGAATGATTGGTGGTTCACACACCTCATGCAAGTACCTTAAGCACATTGAAAAAAGGTTAAAAATCAGGTGCAAATGTGATTGAAAATTCTCCATTTTTTTAAGTTAAAGAAACCAAGAAACTTACTCAAGGGCTCTAGCAGCTCCAAGTGCCATTCTGACACGTGTATTCCACGAAAGCTTCTTCTTGAACTCATCGTCTGAATGCAAACCATCTTGTAACGTACCGTTACTACAATATTCGTAGATAAGTAGTCTCTGATCGTGCTCAGCACAGTAACCAACAAGTTCCACGATGTTGGCATGTCGAATCCTATCTATATCGTTCACTAGTTCGATGAACTCATGATCTTCTTGTTGTTCAGAAGCCCTCTTGTCTAACTTCTTGACAGCAAACAACTGTAAAGACAAAATTATAAGATCAAAGATTCAGAACCAAACCAGAGTTTCCCTGAGACAAGAGTGTTTGAACAAAATGTGTTATACCTTTCCATCCGGAAGATGAGCCTTGTAAACACTCCCAAGCATCCCAGAGCCTAGTAGATTATCCTGAGAGAAGCTTTCAGTGTATTGTTGAAGAGATGCAATGGAGTAGTGCTTCACAGAAGTTAAGGGTAAGCGTGTCTTAGGGGAAGGCTTCTTCAAGGGTCTCTCAGGAGACTTAATTGGCATAACGGTGACCTTCTCAGCCAAAGGAGGTGGTGGCGGCGGTGGAGGAGGAGGGGGTGGAGGCATCAACGTTGAGAAATCAATATCTTGACTCTCCTGCCGTGTCATAGGAGGTGGAGCAGGCCTTTGCAACCGCTCAAGGTCATGTAAAACCTTTGGTTCTTGTCCAGCTTTCGTGAAGGGTACTGTTTCATAAGCATAATCAGAGAACTGTTTAAGTAATGGACAAACTTTGCATAATCTCAAATCTTTTACCTTTCTCAGACCGAACAGGTGGTGGAAGTAGAGGAGGGCCGTTCTCCAGAGCATTCTCTCTGTTTCCTCTGTCAGCACCAACTTGATGAGGTTTAAAGACTCTACTAGCACGTTCTCTTCTTCTTCTTCTTGCACATTTTGGCAACAGCAAGAGTATTGCCAAAACAAGAATGATGACGGCGAGGACGCTAGCGAATGCTATGAGGATTATCCGTTTAGTATTTGAAGAGCTCTTCTGCTCTTTTGAATTAGATCCTTCTGAAGCAGGAGGTCCACCAGAAGCTTTCCCTCGGTTTCTTTCGGTTGCAGGAGGTGGTGGAACTCCAAAAAATGGTCGTGTAGGAGCTGGTTTTGTTGGAGATGTAGAGGGAGACAGTGATGGTGCAATTGTGGTGGAGTTGAACTGGTTTCCTTCCTTTCTGCATAACCAATGTAAGCATGAACAAGAGCCAAAAAAAACTAGTGAAACATAAACTAGAGAGCACTTACAGGAATGTCGGAATGCTTAGCAGTTTTTCTGGTATTGGTCCAGAGAAGAGGTTATTCTCTATGTTCCTGTTTCCAAGAAATACATTAGAAGTTTTTAGACTTACGAGTTTGAACATTTTGTTAGAGAAAGAAACATTACAAGTCCTGAAGAGGAAGGCCTTGAAGAACATCTAGAGTTCCTGAGAGCTGATTGTTCTGAACACGTCTGGAGAAACTCAGATATATCAGTTTAGTAGAGAGAGTCAGTGGGAAAGAAACAAAAAGAGAACAAGACTTACAATGTTGTAAGAGCTGATAAATTCTCCATTGAAGGAGGCAATGTGCCGCTTAGATTGTTAGCTGAGATATCTCTGCAAAAAGATATCAGATCACCAAACAACACATTGAAACAGTAACTATTTCACAAAAGTATTAAAGAAAAGAAGTATACAGATTAATCAGCCCAGGAAGGTTTTGAAACACATCAGGTAACTCTCCGGAGAGATGGTTATCATTCAAAGACCTGAAAAAAGGGTATAATTTTTTCATCAGAACAAATAATTGTAAGTAGTTAAATAGAAACTGAGAGTAATATGAAGTTACATGTCACTCAGAGAACTTAGGGTTCCTAAAGATTCAGGGATGCTTCCAGTAAACTGATTAGCTGAAAGAAAACTGCCAAAAAGGTAAAACACCTTTATCATGCCAACTGTTCATAGCAATAAATCTTTATTATATAAAAAGATAAATTGCTAGGGTGTTATGTATACATACAAATGCTGCAATGTAACTGGCAAATTAGAAGGTATGCTTCCTCCAATGTGATTGTTGCTGAAATCTCTGGAGATAAGCAAACAAAGCAAATACAAAACGTTACAAGCAACATAAAAATTGGGTAGTCAAAACTGTCACATTGTGTGTAAAGACTTACATTCCCCTGATAGAAGTGAACTTAGCTAAGTTGTCACCAAGCTCTCCTTCCAGATTTGCCGCATTTACAGTTCTGTAACCATTCAAGAAATCAATGATAGACATAAGGTAAGTAGAAAGTTGTTATAAATCTGTGAAAAGACCTCTTACATGCTTATAATATCTGAGACATTGCAGACAACGCCTTGCCAAGCTTCACCACATGGGTCTCCACCAGAAGCAGTCCAACCAGGAAGCATAGGTGCCCCAAGTGCAGTGAATAAACCGTTTATTGCAGCAACTGATTCAAAATTACAACATTGCTGAGTAATTCTCAGAAAATAGTGGTAACAAAATCTAAAGATCCTCAACCAAAATACACAGATCTCACTAAGGGATAAAAAAAAAAACATATACTCAAAACTCAGTCCTTACCATCGTCAGGGTTAGTAGCAGCAAAGGAGATGGAAGGAGTCCAAATCAGCAAATACAAGAGCAGAGGAAGACAGTGGAGCTTAGAACAACAGAACTGTGTAATAGATCTCTTACTAGCAGTCATTGTTTGAAGTCAAGAATGAAGTAAACCAACATTAATCAAAACACGACGATGTCTAGGAATCTGTAAACAAGCAGCCATAAACAAAAACCATCATGAAAGTGACAAGATCCATAAACCAATCAGAGAGTTAAACAAATAATAATCTCAAGAAGATAAAGAGAAAGAGAACTAACTGGAAAAGTAGAGGAATCGACATAAAACGATTCCAGATAAAAAAGGGTAAAGTCTTTTCCTTTTAATTAATTACAAGAACCTAACCCAGAAGAAATACAGTACAAACTTTTTTTTCTTTTTATGTGGGTAAGAATGAGATTTTAAGACGCAACGTAAGAGCTAAGGTTCAATGAACTAACGGCTTCAAGAGGTTTCTAAACAAAAAAAAAAAGGTTTAGTTCTGTTCATGGAGTTTAATCTTTTTGTGTATTAAAATTAGAAAGAAACTTTGACCAATGCTACCGTTGCTTTAGATCAGTACAACATCCATGTGAATAAATTAATCAGTGAAAAAACTATATTAATTAATCAATGATTTAACGCCATGATGTGTACAACTGTATCCCTTTGTTATGATATATGTGCAAGTTGCGTCTTTGGTCTTGTTCAAGATTCTAAATCCGACAAGAGACTTGTTTCAAGACTTGTCAATTTTTTAAGGAGAATAATTGGTTGTTAATTGTTAGTTACTAGATAAATGTAAACCGGAACTAACCACCGGTTTAGGAAATGCTGAAAGATACGCGCGTGTGGAAGGAAGAGATTAGAATTAGAAGAGGGGTGGTGAAAAGTGTCAACGGTGAAAGACAAAAGTAGCCGCGAGGGGAAAAAAGGGGTTTTAGTTGGAAATGGATTCTCACTACTTTTCACTTGCTGGCGAGTGCCACGTGCTCTCACTGTCAGATGACGTCACTCACTTCTTACAACGTCCATCCGCGAGTTATTATTATTATTATTTTATTTTTGATTCAACTTCAAATTTTTTCATTAATCATGATTTCAACTATTAACCACATGATTTAACCACACGGATAAAGATTGGGTTAGTATCACTCATGCACACTAAATTGATCATACACTATCCATTTGATATCTCCTTATATTCTTCCTACAAGGCAAAGTTATTGAGACAAAAGCTCTCATAACTGAGGACAAGAAGGATGTTTTCAACCAGAGAAGATGTATTAAAAATCAATTAAATTCAAGAAATACAAACATTGTGAACAAAGTAAAATAGTTATAATTTTTATGAATTGTTTAATACAGCAAAATATATAATGTCTATAAAAATAGTGAAATTTGTAATTAAAAGAAACAAAAAATAAATTAAAATTTAAAATATATTTAATGATTTCGTTCACTTACATATATATATATATGTGTGTGTGTGTGTGCTCTAATAAAGATGATTTCTAATCATATAAACTAACATTTGTTATATCTAATAAATATGGGGGTTTTGGTATAAAATTAAATAAATCCAAAACTAATAGTATATAAACCAAACCAAACTAAATTATATATAGTTAATATAGTATCTAATTTTTATAAACTGAAGTATCAAAAAACTGAAAAAAATGAACCAAAACTGGGGAAAATTCAGATTAAACATGCTTATTTTACGGTATTATTATATTACATCTTATATTTCTTAATCAAATGCTATGTATACTCCCGACAATTTTTATTCTTTTCTTTCCTTTCTCATTATTTATTGTACATTACTTTCTTCGCCTAATCTTGTTTTTTAATAAACTCAATGAATAATCAATATCAAAATACAAGTTTAACACTACCAAACATAACCGGCTCTTGAACCAAGTAAAGAGAGCAATAGCCGGTCGTTTAGTTCTAAAGAATATTTCGGCCATAATTTTTCAGAATGTTCCATTAATGTAGTGGTTAAATCTAATAGGTACAAACTTTCTTCACTCAACTCAGGTTCGCAGCTCAACAGAAGTGGCCAATATTTTTTTAATTTGCTTCTGGTCTTAAATTTCCTAAGAGCAGCACTGCTACAAAAATGTTCCAAATCTGATAGATACATCTTTTAGTTCGCATCAATCTGGTGTCATGAGTTGTAGCTAATTCTCGGTGAAATTATATCTGAACATGCTCCGATATGTAGAAGTACATGAATAGATTCTAGACCTTAATATCGAAATACTTTAAAACTACTTGAAATATCCAACTCAAACACGACCGCATATCTGAATGTCAAACGTGTAGTTTCTGGTAGAAAAATAAAACCAATTAATATATGTGATGAAGACGAGAGATCACACAGTCTTATTTTATTTGTTTGTTTCTTGGTTTTGTAGGGTCTTCCATTGAATTACACACCACTATCGTAAAAGGAGCACCTAAAATCTAAAAATTGAAAATTGATCCGGTTATTTCAGTTCAACCCTAAACACCGACGTGTTTTTGCCTTATAGAGCCTCATCGCTCTTCAAAAATCATTTTAAGTTACACCTTTGACACAAAAGTCTCTGGAATCCCACCAATGAACCACAATAACAAACATATTGGCTAAGTGGTACGGCCAAGGAGAAAAAGGCAAAGATAAAAGAAAATAAGAAGGGGAGAGGAGGAACTCTTCAATACCAACCACTCATCGAATCAGAGACAATACTGATTTGTTGGCTTGTGTTCTAAAGCAGAACTAGATTTTGACCCGCGGTTTAAGCGCGGGATAATTTTTCCGTGAAATATCATTTCTCTTTATTTAAATAGGCCATACTATGAAATCCATAAATAGAGGTGTTATTAGCTGAATCCGAACGGATAATCTGAAAAACTGAAAAATTAAAAAATTAGAAAACTAATATAAATGTCCAAAATAATCATATATATAAAAATTTGCAACATAAATATTTATTTCAGATATTCAATTTTATTTTTATTTTTAATAATATCTAATCATAAGTATTAAATTTTAAATAAGTACATTAAATATCCAAACTAATCATAAGTATTTGTAAACATGATGAAGTATGAGTTTGAAAAATATGTTATTCAGTTTCATCATCTTCTTCACTTATTGTGGTTGGTCTGTGTCTGTTTATAAACTTTTATTTGTATTTTGTTTATTGCTATGACTGTTTAATGAGTTTCTAGGGGAAAAGTCTTGCAGATCCAATATTTTAATGTAGTTGACAAAGTACTCTTACTGATATGTTTTTTTTCTGTAAATTAGTGTCTTTAGTTGAAGACAGACCAAGCGCAAGAAGCGAAAAAGATGGTGAAACCGGAAAACATATTTTTCAAATCATTGACAGAGGACCTGATGATAATGATAAGAAGAATGAAACTTCACTGTTTAATGTCACATAACGTATAACTGGAAATCTACTTTGGTGTGTTAGTATGGAACAGATAAGGTATGTCATACCAAGAGCCTTCTTAAGGATAGACAATGCGCAGCTCCAATTATAAAAACAGGGCAAACCTTGTAGACAGATCCCGCTAAGACAGAGACATGGAGAAGGATTTAGTGTAACATGACAGAGCAAATAGAAGGAACACTAATCAAATAGTCAACAACCTTTACGACCAACAAACTGAATAAGGTTAGTAATTTCTTATCTATCATAAATAATTCATAGGATGAAAGCTTGGTAAGACCATATAGAATAAGTAGTGATATAGCAGTAACCATGCCTTAAGTATTGATGTTTGGTTTTTATTTGTCGGAGTGATGCATATCTGTGTTATGTACAAGATAGTATTGTATTTTTTTTTCTTAAATAATATCTTCAAATGAACTTAAATAAACATCACACTTATCTCAAAACTCAAGAATAAGAATCTCATTGAAATGAATGTTTGATTAGACAAAAAAAATATTGTGTGCATAAATTAAAATAATCTTCATGAACCAAGAAGCATTCTTCCACCAGAGCGTTCTGGTAGGGAATTTCAAAGTTTAAACCATTAATTCGGCTAACCTTCAATTTTCTTAACCATGTATACAGTTGTTTTGAATCAAAACCAATCTATACAATGATAAGTTGACTACATTATATGTGGCATTTATTTACTTAATATTGATTGGATTATGCGTAAATCATTTAATTAACATTTTTTATATTAAAATCGCTTCATGTTTTGTTTTAAAGTTCTGATTAATTATTTGTTTTGTTATGGGTTAACAGGATTTGGTTAGGCTGGTCAAGATTTTCGGGTCAAGATTCATAATTACGAAGAACATAAGGTGAGGCTGGTGGGTTTAAATGTTTAAATGGGCTTATGGTTTGTCAGGTGGGGTTGCGAAAATTTGTTAAATTTAAAATGAAACTACAATGTTTTAATCAGTGGCAATTGTTAGTAATTATTGTGGAAAAATTAGGGCTAAGTACTAAATGTACTTCAGTTTTAATAGTTTAGATGGAGAGATTCTAAAAACAAAAAAATGAGATGAAAACACATTTGCACTCTCAAATTATTACATGCTCTCATTAATCTAAATAATTACTAATTAATTATAAAATAATTCTATTTAAATACAGAAGAAAAAATTAACCAAATTAACATTCATCAAAATGTAAAAATATTTTTATTTCTAATGAAGAATATGCTTATTCTGAAAAGTAAAAATATTTATAAAGTAATTTTAATTTTTTTTATAATCGTGGGAATCCTAAAAGTTCTTTAGGTACAAAAATTAATTTCGCGAAGTCCATAAAATTTTGGATTTTCTTGTTATAAAGTGTCTATGGATGGCCACGAACCCATGACGAAAACTCCAGCTGGAATCTTTTTACGACCAAGACGACTTCGTTAATATATTTTTTGTAATTTTTAAAAATGTTATTACTCTAAATTTCATAACCATTTAACCATATATATGCATATGTATATATACCATTAATGAATGATATTTTGATTACTTTCTATTATATGCTAATTTTAGAACAAAAACATGTTAAAAAAAGTTTTAATGTTTTTTTTTTAAGTTTTAATGTTATCTTATGATATTTTTAACATAAGATTTAACAATATTATATCAAAGTATTTGTGTACTCTCTCTTTTTCAAGTAAATCCTTTACTCAGAAAACAATATGTTGAATCATTATACAGGAGTTAGTCACATTGAGTTTTCTCACACAGATTTCCCAATGGTTGCTTTGCATCCCCGTTTTACGAGATCATTGCAATGCTTGATCGCAGAAATCACTCTACAAAAAAATGGATATACATAGTTACATATCCCTCATGAAGATCGTTGATCTGGTAATGTAGATATATGAAACTTAATGCAAAAAAACCATTAACTGTAAATATTAATTTAACTGTAAAAAAGCCATTTAACTGTAAATATTAATTTTGTTTTAAAAATAGCTTAGTTAATTGGTTAGCTACATT